TGACCTGAGCCAAAGGCAGAGGCCCAACGACTGAGCCACCCAGGCGCCCCCAGCCTCCCCTTTTTGGGGACACCTTTTGCAGCCACAGGGAGGCCACACGGGGCCACATGCTCTGCTGCGGGACTGATGGCTGTCCCCTGGGCTGACTCTGGAACAGGCATCCTGGTTCCCAGAAAGCTTGCGGCAGGGCAGATCATGTCACTGAATGGAAACTGACCGGTGGGGTATTTAGCACACACTGGCTCAAACTGAAAATATGGACCCATTTTTACCAGTTTTAAATACATTAATACACTGAATCTTTACCACAACCCTGGCAGATACAGTTATCTCTATAGCTAGGGAAAGAAAGGCACAGAGAGGTGATGCAACAGGCCCATGATCACAGTCGGTCAAAGATGTCAGGACTCAAACGTTGGCAGAAGGACCTTAGAGCCATGTTCTGCCTACAGGTCTGTCCTCCTGTGTGGATCCTAAGAGGCACGAGACATTGGTCAGTGAAAGGATTAAGTCTCCTGGGCTTGGAAAAATCATTCTCTGGAATGAAAATGTACCAGAGTCCACAAACTACATTCACTATTCATCATCTCAACCTAACCCTTCACAGAAAGAGACTAAATGAACTTTTCTTACCACTAACGAATCAGCCAATTTAAGATAACGGTGAAAAATCACACAATAAACTTGTCAATGCTAGTATGTGATTATACCATCTCTCCATTTCATGCCACATTTACAAATGCAAACAGAAGGAGTGGTCCAAACTGAAACTTTGAAAAGAAAATAAATCATGAAAGCGTATTTCCATACATCTCACAGCAAATGTGCAGAAAATCGTTATAGGAAACATTCAAATTACAGATGACCAAATTGTACAAATCCCACCGACTTAAATCATGTTTTAACTCGATTCTGCCAATAATCTGCCCTGTGACTTAGACAAACCCACGGATGCCCAAGTCTCTCGAACCTTAGAGGTCCAGAGCACTAGCTCAGGCAGCAACCTGACAATGGTCTGAGCTGATGGCATCAACAGATGGCAGAGAATTCTCGGCCCCGGGGCCCCCCACCATCTCCACAAGATAGGCCTCCCCATCTCCTCGCTTTGTAACATTTGCAGCCAGCTAATACCAACTCAGACCCTATTAGTGCCCCGCCCTTTACACACACACACACACTTTTAAAAACCTAATCATCTTCCCCTTTGCATGTAGCTCTTACCTGTTACTTTAAAATAATAACCCTCCCTCTATTCCCTCTGCAAGGCTCAACCAGAAAGGTTAGAAAATGGCATCAGTGGTAAAAAAAAAAAAAAAAGTATTTCAGAGATTGAATCCCTTGCAATATTAACCATGGGGATTTCTGGAAGAGGGGATTATGTTCTTTCCGATGTATTTTTTAAAAATTTTCTCTAGTTAGCAGGTATTACTTTTGCAATGAAAGGAGGGATGGGAATGAAGGAAACTTAACTTTCGGGGAAAATCCTAGGTAAGATGTAGGAGAACAGTGTGCCAATGATAATCCTAGGGTAAGGAATAGGAAACCTAACTTTTTATGTGAACTTAGACTTAATAACGAAACAGGGCCATCAACCTCTAAAGCCTTTAAAAATACCATGATCACAGAAAAGCCGTCCCCACAAACATTATTTAACTTCTTCCGATTAAACCAGCTTTTCTTCAGAGAAACTCAACCTGCGTCTAAGAGAAACTCATTTTTTATCATTAGGTTTGTTTAAATACTAGTGGTCTTACAATATAATTTTCTATTTTAAGTGTTCGTTTTAAGTGTAAGTCATTTCAACCAGATGCAAGTGTAACAGGCATTTGTTACTTCTCAAAATGTATTCCATTCACTTAGAATCTTCTGGAAGAGGAGTCGGCAAACTTCTTCTCTAAGATTCCAGACAGAAAATATCTTAGGCTTTGTGGGCCTGACAGTCAGATGCAGGTGCCCCGCTCTGCAGCACAAAAGCAGTCATAAATAATATGTACACAGGAGGTGTGTTCTAATAAAACTTTATTTACAAAAACAGTCTGTGGCCTATAGTTTACCAGCCCATTTCTATGCCAGAAGAGCATACAAAGAAATGGGGATTAGGCAAGAGGCCCAGCCTTGATTTGTCCTAATTCCTAATCACAAATAAAATGTCTGGTGTCCAATTCAGTATTATGATAACGAAAAGTTTAAGTATTCTGATACTGAACATGGGTATTTTGGTGACCAAAAGGGTTTAATCCCAGTTCTAATTTAGCCAATTGACAATACAATCTCAATCAACTTCGGGTAAATCTGAGCAAGCTGGCTTCCTCACTCTGTAGGGCACACAATGCTCCACTCTGCACAAATGGGAGACTGGGGACCCGGTGGTTTGTATAAACAAGGCTTAAAATCTGCCGTACTCCTAAGATTCCAACAGACCAAGCATGGGGGAGAATCCAGAGAGTAAAAACAACATGCTACCTCTCGTGTCCAATCTACGGTCAATACAAAGTGTGCTTTTCAATGTTTGGTGCAGATAAGCCAACCTCACTGGGCTCATGATCAGTACATCCACATCATTTTGCAGTTCTGTACAAATGATAAGGGGTTGACCACCCTTTTCACTTGCCTTATCACATGAAAACAGTCAATCTGGCTACTCTTTGGCATCAAAGCTCATAATCAGGCTTGGCAACGAACACAAACCAACTAATAAAATTGAAATTGGCTTCCTCCCACCCAACCTGAATCAATCTCTGCTCAATTCTAAGACACTGATATCTCTACTTGGTTGAGATGGGACTGGACCAGGGCTGACCCTGCTTGGGGAAGACTTACTTAACTATCTTTGATCTTGAAGAAGGCCAGGTTGAGGCCCGCAGGGAGATGAGGCAGGTTAACAGTAAAACCAAGTTATGGTCTCAGCTCCAAAGCCAGCACCTCTTCCTCCCTCCCCAACCCAGGATCTTGGGGCCAATACAAGCTTGTCCCACTTTGGGCACGTGACAGAAAGTCTTTCTCAGCATTTTTTCTACCTCATGTGTTCTTAAAGGGGGAGATATCACCCCCAAAGAGACAAAAACTGGTTCAGTGGGGGCAAAAAATAAATCTTAGCTTACACAAAGGTTTGTGGCCCTCTGAAGGGCCACAGGACATAAACAGATACACAGTCTATCTCTGATGTTAAAATTGTATGTGGGGGGCAATTAGGGAAAAATGTTTCAAAGATTCCTGCATGGGGCAGGGGTGGAGATAATGGAAAAGAGGTTAAGAAACACAGTTGTACCCCCCTCCTCAGTTTGGAGTATGTGGGTGTGTTATAATAACCAAACTACCAACAATTTTTCTGCTAGGTCAGAACATTTACTAGCAACAGGACTGCAAGAGGGCATCAAAAGAAATCTGTTCTAACGGATTCCTGGCAAAACAAGGTTGGTGGGTTTACTTCCTGTCTAATGGGGAAGGCAAGCTTGCCTGGGAGAAACGCTCGCTATGGCACACGGGGTCTGAGGCAGAGATGCTCTCCCATCTGCCTGAAAGCCTCACCCCCAAGGACAGAAGGGCAGTTTTGAGGACCTTTGATGCAAAAAGCAGATCAGAGATCACTAGAGCCCCGCGAAGGGTCTGGATAGTACGACACAGATGCCATGATAGGAAAGATCCAGGAGAACAAGGAACTGTACCCTCTTGCAGAGCCTCCCCCACTTCTCACAAAGGTAAGCAAATGCTTCTCAGGTCACCCCTTGTTTTATCCAGCATCTGTGAAGAAATATGTACACACATATGGGGGAAAGGGGACTATTTGCTATCCTTAAGGAGAAAAAAAAAAAAAGGAATCCATTCTAAGCCTATACTTGCGCTATTTATTTCAGTTACTTCCCTTCTCACACCTCAACACGATTCTGCACAAACCTCATCTCCTCACCCTCCCCACCATCCAAAATTATCTTACTTCTTTGTATTAATTCAATACCTATCTAACATATTTTTTGGGTACCTACTGTTTACCAGGCATTGTAAGACGTGCTGGAAATACTTGTGAACAAGACAGATGCTACCCTCGCCCTCAAAGAACGTACTCTGCCAGAATGAATGACCTAACTATAGATTTTATAATGTTAAATAAATATACAGCTTTTCAGGGCATTAAGTGCACAAGTGCAGGACTTCAAACTCTCTTTAAGGGACGCCTGGGTGGCTCAGTCGGTTAAGTGTCCCAACTCTTGATTTGGGGTCAGGTCATGATTTCATGTCATGAGATCAGGCTCTGTGCTGTAAGATGCCAGCCCCCTCTCTCCCTCTGCCCCCGCCCCCCCAGTCGTGCCTGCATGCACACTCACTCTCTAAAAAATAAAAAATAGGGGTCCCTATTTTTTATTCTAGAAATCCTTTTAACAACTTTTATTCCTTATTTACCCTAGAGCAGTAATTTTCAAACGATGGACCAAGGTCAGGAACGTAATTTCTGAAAACACAAAACAGAATAAAAATATTGGAATTCATCCCACTTAGTAGTGTTTTGTGGATCTTTTGTTCCAGTTATATGCGTATGTCTCTGCGTGCCTGCATCATTATACAAACTGTAATAATTTACTATTGCCAAGAAAGTGTCTTTTCACATCCATTCCAAGAGAATAACCCTCAACAGCTGAATTTAACTCTGTATCACGGTCATAATTCAATTACACCCTTAGAGACCTCACTGGACTTCTTGAAGGAAACACAAATTACACATACTCTGATTACTTTGGCCAAGAAACACTTTGTGTAAAGCAACTCTTTGACCCTTTTCTTATTTCTTGTATTTACTAATCTTCAATTGCAACAGCTGGCAACAGCTAAGAGTTTTCTCTGGGCGGTAACCACAGGTGCCCAGATTCTCTGCGAAGGTCTGCCCCGCATACGACAACCGCCCCCACCCCAACCCCGACAGGCAAGCTCGGCTACACGGGGTCAGCGTCGCGTGTTTGGGGACACGGAGATAGATGCATCCTGGGCAAACTCGTGGCAGCTAATTTAATTACCTGCAGTCTCCGGGCTTAAGCGGAGTGCTTATTCCTGAGAGAGTAAAAACGGAAATCATTAAGAATAAACTATTTAGAAGAGAGACAAAGGCGCAGCTGCGACAGGTGCGGTTCAGACGCGATTCGCCGGCGCGCGACGGCCCCCCATTTCGGCCCCATCGCCCCGGCTCCTCCCGATTCCCGCCCCCTGGGCAGAGCGGCGGGGCGCGGGAAACCTCCCTCCGTGATTTTCCAACCGGGATTGGATTCCAGGTGCGGCCTGGGGATCCCACCCGCCGAGCGTCTACAGCAGCAGTCCCCCACCCAAGCCCCCGGGACGGCAGGCCAGCGCCCGCTGCCCCGGTCCCCGCGGGGACCCCCCCGTCCCGCCTGGGCCCGGCCAGCCCAACTATGGCTCCTTGGAGACCAGGCATCCCCGGCCGGGGGGCCGCTCTGGGTCACTGTAGGTCCCTACCGCCCCACGCCGCGCTGAGCCCGAGACGAGCCGTGGGACGCGCGCGCTCCCGAGAGCACTTACCTTCCAGGTGCCCAGCCCCATGATGGGCATCTTGGCGCCGGTGTAGAGCACGAGGTGGCTGGCCATGACTGCTGAGCTCCTCCGACCCGCTCCCGAGGACCACGCCGCGCCAGCTGCGGCGCAGGCCTTTAAGTAGCGCGTGAGGCCCGCAGGAAGGGCGGGTCCGATGAACGCGCGGCTACGCGAAGGCGGCTTCTGATTGGCCGGCCCGCGCCGAGGCTGGGGCGCCGCAGCCCGGGGGGCTCGGCGAGGACGCGCCTTGCGCTAGGTCCCCGAGGGCCCGGATTCTTGCCGCTCGGCTCGCTCGCCCACGCCCCACCTGGCGGCGGCGGTGGAGACCGCACCAGGCAGTGCGGCACGTTGAAACCAGAATGCTTCAGCGAAAAGTACCAGACATCCTATAAATAAGTAGACTGGGAAGGAGTTCGGGTTTTATTTTTTTAAAAGGAGCCCCGAAGGATACATTTGTCTGTTGTCCAAGCCAGAGTCACGCTCTTTGAGAACTGGACCAATGTCTTATCATCTGTAGGAATCATACTGACTACAGGTACAGTTTAGCAGCGCACTTTGCTTTTAGAAAGGTGCATATCAGAGAAATGGCTTGCAGTCTTGTTGCAGAACACCTACTGGAGACTGGAGTTTACACAGCTTGTATGTAGGCCCTTAGGGCTATCTTGGCATCCCACCCTAGGTGCGAGTTTTGTCTGTACCACTGAGTGTGGTTGAGCAAGCCTTCCTCAAAAGCCAGCTTCTCTTGAGGTTAGGAATCCCTAATGAGCTTGGTCCAGAACCCATGGATGGCATCAGGTCTTCAGAAAATAAGACTATCAAACCAAGTTTCAATAACGAAACTTCTAGAGTGAAAAGGCAGAAACCCACCGAAGAAAAGTTAACTTTAATATTGTAGCTTCAAGTATTTCAAATTAGGAGGTGCTAAATAATAAATTGATCAGCCCTGTCAGCCAAGAAGACATTATTTTCCAACACACCCAAAAGTTGCTGTAAAGAGCTTTGAAGACAATTTTGGTTTCTTTTCAACAACCTCTCTCTCTGATTCTCTGTCCTACCCCAAACCTGCTCTTTTTGCTCCATCACCCTCTAATCTTTCCTAATTATGCAGGACTGGGAATTACGTCTGCAGGGCAATGACTCAAGAACCAGAACTCACTAAACTCCATTCTGGTGATTTTCCACTTGGTGACTTCTAAAAAGTGCCCCCTAGGAAAAATTTATACACAACAGACTAGCCCAGATACTTTTCCATTTGACTTTTATAAAAACCTGCTAATTGGCAAATTCTGATGCTATTTGTCCTCACATAATGGAATTTTAATTAGAACTTTCAGCTGGGAACCTGGTTTGTAATAAAACAGCAGTAGCCTAACATTCTTCATTCATAAGATTTCTGCTGACAGATTATATCCAAAGGTTGCTGTCCAAGGGGCTAGTCCCTTGGGAAAATGATAACACTTTAAATGTCCAGTTTGGTATACACAGAGGGGTCATCTGTTAGGGACATGGACTCAGTATGAAGGTCTTGCTGTTTCTATGACGACTGAGGATGGAAGCTGACTGCATGAGGGTATAGCTAAAGTTTTGACTTGGGGTATTCTGTGTGGGTTATGCAAATGTGAAAAGTCATACCTGGGGATCTTCTATAGCAAAAATAGTACTATCACCAGGACATATTGTGATAGTCTCCTAACTGCCCCACGGCCAGTGTCAGCTTTGTAAGAGGCCATCGTGCACGTGTCAAAATTATGCTTCAAGAAACATTCTAGCATTTCGTATCAAGAGCAGTAAGAATCTTCATGTTCTGAACCAGTAATCTCATCCTGAAGAAATTGCGTAAAAGCAATACGTTTGCGCATGCGCACAGGCAGGCTAGCCCTGGGGCTGCGGATAAGGGAGGTGAGCTGTCATTCGGATACAGCCTGGATGTAAGCACCTCCTTAAACTTGACACCCAGGGGCGCTTCACTTGCCGTGTGTGTGTGTGTGTGTGTGTGTGTGTGTGTGTGTGTGTAACAGTTCTAGCCACATAAAGTAAAACTGTAAGTGTCCAACTATGACAATAAATGCAATGTAGCCATCAAAGACAATATATAGAGAAAAGTGTACCTGAAATAATACGAAGGTGAAAGTAGAGAACAAAATTGTAAATACGGCCTCATTATAAGCATGAAAAAAAGCATGTACCATATAGATAAATTTAGGAAGAAGCCAAAGGAAATGAGAATGTTGTTTGTCAGACTATCATTAATTAAATGCGTTTTGCAACTACAAGACACTTTCCTATTAACTCTCTGATTCCCATAGGATACAACTTAAACTCCTTAGCCTGGCATTCAGGGTCCTGTGACATCTGGTATAACTGTGAATATATGAAAAACCACCAAATTGTATACTTTAATGGGGTGAATATTATGGCATTTGAATTATATCTCCATAAAGATGTTACAAACAAACAAATGTATAAAGGTTATGTGAGATCTGTCCAACCCAGGCCGGTGGGGTAAGGGGGGGCAGTAGGCTCAAGGACCCAGGCTACAGGTTCTAACGACATTGTTTCACTGCTGTCCCAATCCAAATCTTCAGGCTCTGCCTCAGGGGAGCCAAAGAGCACTGGAGAGTCTCAAATGAGCGCTTAATTGTTCGGGCCTGGAAGTGGGACACCTCACTTCTCTCTACAGCCTACTGGCCGGACCTATTCAGGGGGTCCCGTTTAGCTTCACTGGGATGGGGAAATGTCGCCTTCTTATGTGCCAGAAAGCAGAGGAGAACAGAATGTAGTAGAATACAGTAAGTACCAGAAGTCTCTTCCACAATGACAAACAACTATTGAGCCTTTATTATATTTCGGGCACAGTCTTAGGCCCTTTACATACATTATAGGAAGGTGTTGCTGTTGGTACTGCAGCTGGTAATAATATAATAGCTCACATCTGTTGAGCTTGCTATTCTATAAGCATGGTATGCATCAAATCACTTAATTTTCATAGCCACCCTTTGCAGTGGGTACTATTATTAATTCATTTTACATATAAGGAAACTGGGCACAGAGAAGAGAGGTAAATTGCTAAGGTCTCATAGCAAGTAAGTGGCATAGTCAAGATTTAAACCTGAGGAGTTGGACAATAGTACCCAAACTCTTAACCACCGCACTGGTGGCTTTCAGATGATTTTACTGGGACTCATAGTTACACCTACTGTACACATGTATGTAGATAGAACAGAAACAAAATATTGACAAAGTAATTCTCATCCTTATGATGTATGGCATACTCTGCTATTTCACATTCTGGATTTTTTTTTAAAGATTTTATTTATTCATTTGACAGAGAGAGAGCAAAACAAGGGGAAGGGAGAGGGAGAAGCAGGCTCCCCGTTGAGCAGGGAACTGGATACGGGCTCGATCCCAGGACCTGGAGATCATGACCTGAGCTGAAGGCAGATGTTTAACAGGCTGAGCCACCCAAGTGCCCCATATTCTGGATTATTTTAGTGCTGCTTTCAATCATGATTCACTCCTGGTTCCACAGTACATGATTTCATGACCCACTAGCAGATCATGGCTTGAGGATTGGAAAACCTCTGCCTTCCATCCACTCTGTGGTCTTGCCACTACTCCTCATCTCAGGTGGCAGGAAAACCTTCATATTTTGTTCATCATGGATTCTTCTTGCATTAATTTAGATTTTTAAAATCCTGCATTAAAATATAATTTATTTGGGGTTTTTCTGTTTCTTTTTCCTTTAGAGAGAGAGCATGAGCGGGGGAGGGGCATACAGAGGGAGAGAGAGAATCCCAAGCAGGCTCCATGTGGGGCGCAATCTCACGCCCCTGAGATCATGACTGGAGCTGAAATCAAGAGTCAGATGTTTAACCAACTGAGCCCCTGAGGCGCCCCAAATTTATTTTGATTACTGATATTTGGGGTGCCGTCCCTCCCTTAAATTCTGCATTGAGGCAAGTGCCTCATTTGCTTCACAGTACCTAAGAGTATCAAAATAAAAAAGAGAACCCCAGAGAGGTGGAGTTACTCACCCAGAGCAATCGCTTTCCACACTGCAGTGATTTGACTGCCACGCTCTTCACAGCGCAAGCGTGAGGACATGTGTGAGCGTCCTGTGTGGCAGTGACTCCACCCCCTTTTCTCCCAGTGGCTGAGGATCTCCTGTACCTGTGGCTTCTCCTTCCTAAGTGAGCGGACTTGGGGTACTAGGTGGCAAGAGGGGAGACGTACCTATACATCATTGCGGGGCAATAGGCCTCTCAGTGCAAATAAGTCTCCTGTACTCCAGTCTAGGAATAGGTTACTGGTGAGATGGAGCAGTCTCCTTATTGATCTGGGGTCCTGGCTTGGGTGGCAGTGCGGGTGGGTGGAGGACAATGAAACTACGGAATTGCTAACGCAGGCCCTGATATTGTTAAGCAGTTAACGGAGCCCGCTGGTCATTCCCATCAGCATGGATTTGCATGAGGCCACAGACAACTTCTTGGTTGCCGGCTCTTATTTCATCCGTAATAGCCAAATCCACAGCTTTGCTGGGCAAATCTACTGGAAGAAAAGATCTCTGTGCACAGGCAAAGTGCATGGGGTATTATTAAGTTTGGCACCTGTATTCATTCAACAGATTCATTCATTTATCCAACAAATAACTTACAGAGTATTTGATATGGCCAGGTACTGTTTGAGGGCCTGGGATTACAGAGATAAAGAGAATAAAGTCTCTGACCACATAAAGCTTCCTTTCTAGAGGGAGAGATCACTAGTAAACATATCTATAAACAAGCCAATGTAATTTCTGGCCTGATAATGATAAGGTTCCTAGGAAATGAAGTTGGAGATGAAATGGGAGAGGTAGGCACAAGTCACATCTAGAGCCTTCAAGGGCCATCACATAATAATTTAGTTTTATTCTGAATGTGATGAGAAGCCATTGGAAGGTTTTTAACAG